TGTAGTTTGTTTAAAGCGAAAATATTAATATATGTGTTTTATGCCCTTACAACCTCCTTAAGGTATTCATTCATCTTCCCTTCGAAACAAATCAGTTTTGGAGACGAAAAACGGCAGGAATTAAGTTTAATAATTAGCGCAAAAAATGTTACAAACATCTTCTATCAGCTCAAATTATAATTAAAAAATTGAAATTTGGACGATTATTGTTATAGATCAGCTAATATAAATTTAAGTTTATATTTGTGATATTTCGTACACTTCAGGTTTCTACACAAATTTTAATAAGGCATACATATCAACGCTGTACTAATTATTTAATGAATTTATTAAATCGCATGCAGATTACTAAGCTTGCGTTCTGAAACTGCACTCAAATATCATATGTTCATCACTTATTATTATTATTCACTTTATGTTGAAGGAAGGAAGCTTATAAAAGAACTGATAATAAACGTTTTTACCGCTGACAAAGGTAATTTAACAGTAGCATTAGACAGAGATACATACATTGAGAAGGTGAAGGCTATGTTGGATGATAAAATGACATATATTAGAATTCTCAAAGAGAACCCAACTAACAAAGTTAATAGTAACTTGAGATGCTTGCTAGCTGGATGGAAAAAGTCTAATTACATTTCAAACTCTATGTATAGATATCTCTATTGTAGCGATGGGAATACTCCGAGGGCTTACGCGTTGCCCAAGGTACACAAGCAGAATTGCCCGTTTCGCATTATAATATCATCAATTGACAGTTCTTTGTATAATTTGGCGACGTTTCTTCATAAATTGATTGTCAAAAGCATACTGAAGGCACCGAGTAACATTGATAATAGTTTCGAATTGGTTTAGAAGTTAAAAAATGTAAAAATTTCTTTTAGTTACAGTTTGGTATCCTTGGATGTGATTTCCTTGTTCACCAACATTCCAACAGATTTGGTTATTGAGATTCTTTCTAAAAAATAGAGTTTAATAATTGAAAATTGCTGACTTCCTAAGGATGAATTTTTGAAGGCAGTTAGATTGGTGCTGGAATCTACTTATTTTGCTTTCGACAATCAATTTTACAGACAGACATTTGGAACTCCGATGGGTTCGCCTTTGTTTCCTATTGTGACCAATTTAGTTATGGTAGAATTGGAAAGTCGGGTGTTGGGTGAGATTCATTTTCAGGTCATTTTACTATAGATACATTGGTGACGTTGTATTTTGCATTCCTAATGTTGAAGTAGACATCATTCTTGAGAAATTTAATTCTTTCCGTCCAAGGTTGCAGTTCACGTTGGAGGTGGGAAGCAACTCTATTAATTTTTTAGATATGACCATCATACTAAAGAAAGATTCATTGATTTTTTATTGGTACCAGAAACCCACGTTTTCGAGCAGGTTTTTGAATTTTTTATCTCAGCACTCGATTTCCCAAAAGAAAGGCATAATTTTTAATCTTGTTGACAAAGTTTTTTATCTCTCGCATCCGAAATTTCAAAAAAAGAACCTTGATTTCATTGTTAGATTACTTTTGGATAATGACTATCCTTTGGAATTTATATTTAAGACCATGAATATGAGAATAAAAAAGTTAATAAATAATTTTAATTCCTCAGACAAAAAATCTAATAATGTTGCAATAAAAGAAAAAATAAAATGGTTTACCATTCCATTCATAGAAGGCGTCTCGAACAAATTCAAAAACTTTATTAACGGTATGTCATAAGGTTTCGTTTTTCAGTTTGAACAAATTAAATAAATTTATTCGAGTACACAAGGATTCTTTATCAATCGAATCGAAAAAGAATGTTGTATATAAGATCAATTGTAGTGACTACGATGCATCCTATGTGGGCCAGACGGGTAGGAAACTTAAACCTAGAGTATTAGTCAAGATTATTAGATTATTAGTCAAGCGTCGTCAAAATCGGTTATTACTGATCATAGGGTGCATTGCGGACATAGGTGTTAAACTTAATTCCTGCCATTTTTCGTCTCCAAAATTGATTTGTTTCGAAGGGAAGATGAATCAATACCTTAATCAAAGTAATTTCCTTTATTTTCTACTTTATTACTAATTAATAATACTTTGATTAAGGTATTTCCCTTCGAAACAAATCAATTTTGGATACGGAAAACGACAGGAATTAAGTTTAACACCTAATAATTTCGATTGGGATAATGTTGAGGTTCTGGACAATGAGAGATACTATAATAAACGTCTACTGTCAGAAATGGTACATATTAAAAAACAAAAAATAGGTTAAATTTGTAAAATGACACTGTTACTTTAAATTGCTTCATGTTTACATTGAGTTGCTTTAAATTGCTTTATGTTTACATTGAGTTGCTTAATAAACTATAGGATGTGTCTTTTCATAGAAATGAGATTTGTTGTTTTGATCTATAATCGGTGCTTTTAAATTTGACCGCAATGTTTTGAATTAACTCTTATTATTTGACGGAACTTACAATTGACTAGACACTCTTTGTTCTTCTTAATTTTTCACATTTAAATTTTAACATGTTGACGAGTTTATGCATGGATTGGAGATATTATTTTCCGATGCAATATCTCTTTTCATTACGTTGATGGATGGATTGAATTGCTGAAGATGACTCAAAATAGAGTTAAAATGTACAAGGTTTACAGTCTGTAAAGTAAGAGCGTGTACAGGTTAATGTGTAGAAAAATTTATTTTTAATGATTCTTAAGTACATAGATTTGTTGTACTCCATGAAAAGAAAAATGCTATACCATTAATAATGAGTCCAGTCCGGCATTGATAATTGCCTGACATCTCCGAGGCATACTTTCCACTAAGTTGACTGCGTATTCGTTCGGTAAAAACCTCTAAATGAGACGAATTTTTCGTGTCAGCTGCTTCAAAGTGCATACTCTTTTTCCTCGAAGCTTGTGCTTGAGATATGCCCACACATTTTCAATGGGATTTGCATCTGGCGATTGCGAT